TCTTATAAGCAATATATGTGTGTTTTCTATTGTGTAGTAAAAAATAGGGTGAAATTGTTATATAACCATGATAATTTGCAGAAAAAGATACGTGTGGTAAGTAAGTATATAATGCTTCATCCAAAATGATTGATGTTCTAGATTTTATTTTTTGAATTTTATAAAGATTGATTTTTTTTACTATTCTTTTTATGCAATTTTATTGAACTAATGATGATTAATTGTAAAGTTCAAAATATATTAGTTACTTTCATTAGGCTCGATGTCATTAAGGTTCAACTTGCAAATTGTTGCGGTCTTCTATTCTTTTACAGGCAAGAGCTCGCAAATGGGCCTTGAACTGATAGTACTTTGTTGAGTTGTTGGGTTTTCGAGTAGGCCAAGCTTGGTATCAAATCGAATACCAAATGTTGCCTCCAACCTTTTAAGCGAGAGGTGTCGAGCTCAAAGGACAATAATATTTCGAAAAAATTGTTCGAATTTCATAGTTTTTTGTTATCTTTTGATTTCACGATTGTTTTCGTGTTTGATCTTTGGATTTTTTTGGTTCTCTTAGGCAATGACACCAAGCAATTAGATAGTTGCATTGCATGAGCAAAGGTTGAGAAACATGCCCTCATGTGCTCGTAGCCCGTGTGAGTTCGAGATCTCCAAAGAATATTTCATGATATATATGTGGGATGCAAGACATTAGTTAAGCTGCAAGATGAGAATTTAGCTATAGCCAAACGAATTTATCTGATTTTAGAGCAGAACAATGAGCTCGCTAGGGTTGGAGCTATCAAGGTGTGTTGCGCAATGCAAGCTGGAAATGGAGTTGCAACCAAGTAACAAAAAGCTCAACCTCAAGTTTTAGAGGAGATGCTTAAGACAATGGTCATCTATCCAATGGCATATATGCCACAAGGACATTTCCGATTCGGTTCTAATATTCCACCTCAGGTTGAGGAGGTGGAGCTCGAAAAAAGGCCAACAAGCAAGAAATTCGTCAAAAATGATTTTGATTCCTCCCCCTTCCACTTACTTTCATGTTTGAGGTTTTAGGACTTATTGCCTGGTGTGGAAGTAGACTTACACACACTTGGGTGTGTACTGGATAAGATAATTAAAAGGCTAAACACTCTATATAAATCTGGTGAAATATAAGAAATGAATCGACGTATTGGATTTTATTGATTGAATCAAATATTACAATATGATCACAAATAAGATGTGTTTATAGCGAACTCATAAAGCGGAGTTTTTATTAGGTCAAAAGATGTCTTCTTCTTGAAACATTTCCTATTTTTATACTATCTTTCTCGAGCTCGCCATATCCCCATGCATATCTTGGTCTATTTGCCTAGAAGATTCCCTAAGTATCTCGCCATTTCCAACAACCAGGATAGTATGTTGACTCGTTCTCGGCAAGATGACGATTGCTAGCAAACCGTTTTCGGCCCTTATCCATTTTTATTGAATGCTCGCGCTTTAATGGACCGGATTTGTTACAAATCCAACTCTAAAAGTTGCCCCCTAGCGCCCTAGCAATGAGTACGAAAAGATAAACCTTATTTGGGCGGAGAACATTCAGTATGATACCATCTCCAATTTATTTCTCTACTTCTATTCTAAACTATAATAAAAATAGCAATCATCTATTTTCTCATCAATGTATACTCTATTTTAGAGTAAAATATTGAATTTCTCTATTTTTTTCCTCTACATATAGATTAATAACAAATAACAATTTTATAGTTAGAAATAGAGGTGGATTGGAGAAAAAATAGGAGAATGCTATTTTTTCTCTATTTCTTAAGGAATAAATAGAGGTGGGTTAGAGATACCCTGAGTTGCGATCTCGCCAAATATTTTGTTGATGTTGTCATACCTTGATACAAGATAAGCAATCATGAGAATCGAATGGATAAGATTTGAATCTTGAGGATCAATCTTGAGATGCCATTACTATGGTGAGAGATTCGGTGCTCAAAATCCCACAAAGATGGAAGTTAATGACATCTAGGAGGACCTCCATGAAATTTGCAGGGTCCCTCGATATGTCGAGCTAGTCATCCCTACTATCCGCAAGTCATCGGAGAAAGTAAGACCCAATTACTATTGCACCTATCCGAATTACTACACAGTGTACACTCTGTTACATGTTGATTGACTTTCTAGTTCTGATGTTCATCGCCAAAGTCCTGAAATACCTTGGAATTTCCAGCACATCATCGTGATGTATGTCCAAAGCTACGAGGAGGAAGTATTGTTCAAAGTCCGACAAATCATCGATATTTGTACAATGAAGACAAATCCAAACTGCCCGAGGAGGGTTTAAATGCCTCTTCGCGCTAAACAGGGAGTAGTAGAAGATATCCCAAAAGGATAAGGGGTTCGACTGGCGTTCTGACTTTAGAGCTTGTAGAGACTTTTATTTCTTTTTAAAGTTTTTAAAGTAATTTTTCCCAATCAAACTTTAATGTTTTATAGTTTTAAAAGTCTCTAAAAGTCCTCATTATTTATCTCATAGCATTTTAACTGTTTTTGTTCATGTTATGTTGTAATTTTTCAAAGCCATTATTTTATGACTTTTTTTTTAAGTCACAATTTTCTATTTTAAATCAAAAGTTTTTACAGCCAAAACTTTTGAAAGTCACAACCAATCACCCCAAAATCTGGAGCGACAATTTTTTTGTTTTTTTTTAAAGATTTGTCTGGCATCAACATCATTGATGGGGGTTTTAAAGGGTTCGGGCTCAATGGTCATAGAACGAGGAATAGGATGGAGTATAGTTAGTTATCCTTCTTGTTTTCTTTAGCCCAGAGCACCTCCCTCGCTCTAGAGTCTCTT